CAGTTCTTGTTTTCTACCACTATGGTAAAGAAAGGGCAGTCCTTGCATTTCCTCAGACATTCTGTCTGAATATGAACAGTAATATTGGAATTGATCTTTAGCAATGAACATTTTTGAAAAGTCGTAATAATAGTGGATACAGTTGAAATGAGCGGTGCACAAAATAACTGTAGCATTGTAAACTTATTTCGTATTTTTATGCGTAAGACAGCAAGCTTTTGATCAGTATGTCATTAGTGGCATTACATATCAAGTAATTCTCTAATTCTGTAGTATAGGATTACTCATAAGCTAGAATTTATATATTGAACTTAATTCGGGTAATTTTTCAAGTATGTGCTCTGTCCAGCATAAATGTATGTATATATCAAATGATTATATTTCAGGTGAATATGATAACAGCTAACCTATTTAAAAACCTTATTTCCAAGTCTTGCCTATTTTGAAATTCTGTCATTTTGTTCAGACTGTGAAGAGCTCCTTTGGCAAATACGTATCTTTCTTTTTGTATCAGGCCCACGGGAAAGATGGCTTATCTTCCTTTTGCAGAAGGAACTGACATTTTCCTGATAGCTCAAAAGTCATTCAGAATCTTCTGGAAGCTCTCACTAGGACCTAGAGTTAGCCTTTTTATTGTTTCATTTTTAACATTTCAGCTACAGCATGCACACACAAACCCAAAGTACTGCAAACAGTAGTCACGCTTTATAATTAATGGGATGAACTGAATTAAAGGTATGATAAATTCAAGTATAAGCACTGAAAGTGTAATAGAAGATACAGTTATCATGCATTCCTGTTCACGTAACACTTACTGCTGGTTGTGAGATCTGAGATGTTTTCTTCACTGTCGATGTCCTCAAAAAATAGGGTTTCACCTGAATGGGACTGTCCCTTCTCATATAAAACTGCATTGGCGTTCATTAACAAAATTTCTTGGAGTGTTGTTTTTTCTCTTCTCTACAGCAAGTGCTGTACTGTTGTTTGTTCCCTCTCTTAGTTCCATCTACCAGAGAATAAAGGAGTACTTTGTTTAATGAGTTTTGTTTGACGAACACTTAGAAAGGGAAAGCAAAGAGATTATAGAGAAAAATACGTGGAGGCTCTTAGTGCTAAATGCATAACAATATCCAACTGCTTTGATTAAAGCTGCCAACAGGGATTAAAAGGAAAGAATAAAATCATAAGAATCCAAAAACTCTATAGACTTACGAATTTGGACTGGATATGATTCATTTAAGTTGATCTGGGAGCTGTAGAGCTGTTTTCTCTCATTTTTTTTTTTCTTCATTTTTTCATCACATGTAATCTTATTATGAGTTTAAACTTCCTAGGAAAGAACTATGCAATGTATTTTAATTTCTAATTGGAGCAGCAGCACATTTCTTTTCAGCTACAGGTTTTGCTTGTCTGTCCTTAGCAGCTTTCGCCTACTGTAGGACATCCTTTACTCTTTGCCTTTCCATTATATATAAAAGAACAAAGGGATAAAGCTGCTCTAAAACTTATATGATAATTGCAGCGTATTGGTGAAATGGCCTCAACAAGTCAGGGTAAGAAATCATTAAGCTGGGAGAAAAGCCTTTCTGATTGTCACAGTGATATAACCATAGCTTTTGGTTCTGAGTTGTAGTTTCCCATGTCCACATCTGTGTTTCAAAAGATTTTTGGAGAATGGAATTGTTTTAGTTTCATTTGCCAGTGAAGAATGTTTTACATCCTCAGGTTTGTCTCTGTAAATGTTGTGACATTTAATATCTGGTCAGTTGTCACATCCAAGAGAAGTTTCTCTGTTCCCAGATAAGCACAGGTGTGATGATTCAGGAGCTGCGGTATGAGCTGATGTAATGGGTGAACACTGGTACAACGTATTCAGTTGTTCTTAAGGATTTTTCTGCTTGTCAGGAGCTTTCTACAGTGCTGAGCAAACAGGTATGAGCTGCTGTAAATATCAAAAGTAGTGGATAACGCATGCAGAAATGCACACATTGTCTCATACATTTGTTTGGAATGCTTTGGAGCAGAGAATGCGTGGTCCACAGCATGATTTCGTTAGGCTCTTGGAAGGCATTTGTGGTGCCCTCACAACACTCTTGAAAGAGACCGTTGCAGAGTAAAGAGGAAAGGTCTCATCAGGGAGAAATGGTTGGCTAGAAGATTAGGTATGAGTAGATAGATAGAAATAAATGGTCAGTGGAATTGTACAGCAAATCTAAGCAAATACTTGTGCTGTGTAGCCTAAAGAGTCTGGAAAAAATGTGAAGATGTAAAATTTTTTGCTCACAAAAATCATGAGAGTAGTAAAGATGGGGTTTAACTTTGAAGAATTGTAAAGGGACCTTTATAGTGCTACTGATTAGATGATAAAATAGCGAATGAAGCTTTAATGCATAGGATGTGACAGGCGAGGGGAAGAGCACTGCTCACGTCGTGTGTGCAGTAACTGTCTCTGAATTCATCAACCTGAAATGAGGTTTTATAGGAAAGTTCACTGTGTTGCTTTAAAAAGCCTCACCTTAGTGACTCTTTGCTCCATCAAAAAAAAAGTGGTGAGTAAAGTAGTCAGATTATGAGTCATCCAGTGCCTCTTCGTTCTGGAGCAATGCTCCTTGTGAGGAGATCTGTGTTAAAGAACTGAGAACTATCCTTGGGAAGGAAGCTCATCTTTTCCAGTATGGTAATAAGAAGTTGTATATAATTGCTCTTAGTGCCGTGCCACAGTTATTTTCTGCTGGAGGGAAAGCCAAAGTGAAACCTTCACATCAGAATAAGGGGCTGTGTAATCAGCATACCTGGTGGGAGACTGAATGCTTGCCTGTAGCATACAGACACAGAACAGGTGCTGAATGCTTGGCTGATAGAGGAGCTGCCTTAGAACTGTCTTATTAGGAACTCAGACAGTCCACTTTAATGAAGTGTAATATGTTCTGCTTAGGTTTCAGCTCCCTGCAGGAGAAAAGTACAGCTTCGAAAAAGATACATGGGTTTGCTTTTAATACAGGCTTATTGCAAGATACATGTATTACCTATTGTGAGACTTCTGTTGCTAACAGTTAGTTAAATTGTCTTATATAGGCTCATTCTGATTTAGAGCATTGATTTCATCAACAAGGCAACAGACTGAATTACATTGTACTTTGTCACGTGTTCCTCCTGCCTCACTAGAGCATAAACCTTCTTTGTACTTGAATGCTAAAACACTAAGGGGAAAATAGTTGTTACACTATTGACAGTTCAGGATATATCGGTAGGATAATTTTCATATTCATTATTTTATTAGAATTGAGTATTATTTTGAGAATAGTGGTGGGGCAAAAAAAAGTGTTAGAAATAAAATGATCCTCAAATTAACTTGTGCGTTCTAAGTACTTGTGTACTCTGTATTGATTTTCATAATTCTACTCTCTTTTTAATGCATATTTAAAAGGTTAGCAACAAATAGCTTGGATAATTTTTAAGGAGTGGCCAATTAGAAGTGAAAAGCTTTCCCTGTATCTGTCACTATGGTAACCAGGCGGCTTTCCTGGGGTTCAAATAAATCAGTGTCTGTAATGGAACAAATGCTGAGGAGTGCTGTCTTCTTTCAGAAGCAGAAATTATTGCCTTCCAGCCTCTAGATAGCAAGTTGAGCTGGCTTTTTTTTTTCCCCTAAATTTTACACTGTGTTTTTTTTCTTATCCTTCAGAATTTTGTGGTCAAAAATGCAGGTGTTGGGGATCGAAATGTATTGTTGTATTTCTTGACAAAAGCGTAGATGAGTATACATGCATGTAAATAAGTCTTTGGTATTTCTGTGCATGGAGGTGGTTGGTCATGCAAAGGATGTATTTACCCTGTTCAAAAAACTGAAGTGTTCTGACGTTCAGTGTGAGCACAAGTTTTCACTGTGTGCTTTGCTCTTCCTTACAAGTAGGGGGCTGTGGCAAGTCTAGAAGCCCATGAGAAATTCAGAAACTATTTTTGAGATATGTGCTAATCTCCACAGATTCTGTATGCCAGGTTTTTATTTGTTATCTCACTTCTAAATAAGCTCTCGTGACATTTTTTAAGCATTTTTATATTTTAGTCATTAAAGCAGTTTTTCTATCTTAGTCTTGCAAAAAAGTCTAGCTTACAGAAAAAGTGGAAAAGAAAAAAAAAAAGGTATATTTCAGGGTGTTTTTATATGATGTAACTATAACTGCATGACATATTGTGTTTTTTATATGTACATCTGTGTATACTGAAGGCAGGATGTTACTTCAGTCTGTTTTCAGACACAAGGGAAGTGGCAGGTCTGTGAACCAAGCTGATATAGGAACTACAAGAGAAAATAACAAATGTGAAAGAGATCTGTGTAGAAACATTCAAATGTAATTTTGGATTAACGGTGATGGTACACAGAGTATGAGTTCATAATTGACTCTGAACACAGAGTTCAACTGTCACTTAAATTGAATGCAGACTTATTTTGATCTGCAATTCCTTTGAATAGATATGAGTTTTAAAATCTTAATATACTGGAAAGTAACTCGTTGGCTCTCATTTTGCCAAAGCCCTAGAGCAACAGAAAATATATGGGGGCTTTGATTTCTAATTATAATACCAATTTTCTCCTGCTGCCCTTCAGCCTGTATATTGAATATTGTCTAATTTGTGTATCATGTCATAATTGTCTTGTGGAAGGATCTGAAGAAAGAAGTGCTAATTACTTTACAGATGACATGGAAGTTGTGCTGGATGAAGAAAGTGCCATGGGGAAAAAAGCACTAAGTACTAATGGTGTGTGAGCTAATTAGAAATATGTAGATAACCAAGAAAGACTAAAATACTCCAGGGCTTTGAAAGCTAAGCCAAATCAAGTACTGGGGCAGTGGTTTATCACACAGCTGTTACCTGTCACAGTGTTTTCTTGTATTGTCCCTGTTTTCTTGACACCTATCCTGCAAACTGTAAAGAAATACCGTGTCTCAGAGGAATGAATCTGCTCAGGTATCTTGATGTTTTGTTTTTCCTTACAGGTGGATGTGGCAGTGGTGCATTTCACTCCATTGGTGCAACCAAAGATACAGCAGCCGTTTGAGCTAGTAGAAAAAGTGGTTAAAAGTGTTTTTCAATTCAGAAGAAAATACTGCTGCCGCGGAGTCGAGTAAGGAACTTGAAGGAAAAATCCTCTATTTTTTGTTTTTATTCACTCTATTTAAATGTGCTATTCAATGTTCATCAGATCTTTCAGTTTCAGAACAGAGACAAAATTATGAGCTGAATGCCTCTCTGTTTTTGTTAAATAATTACTGTGAATTTTTGTTAGTGTAATTGAAGTTGTTAAAATTACTGGGATAAATTGGTGATCTTTCCAATTTGTATCTCTCCAATAATTGAGCAAAATAACAACAAGAACAAAAGCAACTGAAAATCAATAGCATTTGTTGGTTGAGTTAAAAAATGAAAGTCTCAGAATTCTTAACTGACGATTGCAGTCCGTGGAGAGAGAATTCGATCTGTGGGAAATTTTACTTATTTGGAGGGATAGTGTCAAAAGGTCACATTCTTGCTTCTGTGCCCCTATATGGAGTTGTTATTGCCTCTTTAAAAAGCCTTGTGTCTCACTGAGAGAATTTACTAGCTTCTTTAGCCGGTGCAGGAGAACTTCAGTCTGTTCTCCAGGGATCCTGTTAAAACTTGAGCATAGATACATGTCTGACTTGGGATGGGAAAAGCCCTGTGCTGAGCATTGTAGAAATATGCGACAGAGCTCTTTTAGGGAATTTGAGGCATAGAGCTGTAGCTTCATCTAGCTGAAGTTTGCTGGAAGTTTTGAATCAGTTTAGGATGGATGGCATCTTGCTAAACTGCAAGGGTTATATGTTGCTGTTTTGAAGGTGAATGTACATAGAATTTTGCCTTCATTTTTTAGATGGAGAAGTGTTTTGTTTGGTCTTGAGGCAGTGAGTGATACTGATGTATGGGATTCAAAACTGAATGCAAATTTGCCTGCAGTAAAGTTTGAGTATACATTTGAAATCGGTGAGAGATTGAGGTATCCAAACCAGCTAGGTTTGTATTTGATTTACAGTCTTCATGGAGGAGTAGCTTCAGCTGGCAATATAATCAAGAGGCACATGCAATCAGCATATATATGTTACGTAGAATATTTTTGCCAAAGTTTTTTTTAAAAATTGTGTAATATGAAGTAGCTAATAACGACTGTACGTTCTTTTGTGGCAAGGAGAGCGAGTCTGAACTTCTGAGCATCACATATTCCCTAACAGATTATTGGACTTTAGCCCTAGCACGCAGCCAAGAAACACAATCCTCTTACTATTTAGCTGACCTGAAAAAAATGAGCAACTTGTGGTGCATAATGGGGCTGTTACATTACTTACAAGATACTGTATAGAAACAAGGTAATAGAATGAGTGTACATTTGTGTTTCACTTCTGGGACCTGAGAGAGATGTGGCATGTAAGATTAAACTGTTACATCCAGGAAGCATAAAGTGTAGCAGAAGTTACCACTCATGTGTGGACCTTTCATAGTCTATGTATAAAAGGTTCATTTTTGGCTCAAGGAACGTCTGAAAATAATGGAGATTTCTTTAATCAAGGCCTTGAGGCACACTGCAGCTTAAACCCCATCTTCTCTTGTCCTTTTAGACCCCTTTTTAGCTTTGTGTTCCGTCTGTCCACCAAGAGCCAACTTTCAGTTGCACAAAGCCTAGCTTGTCAAAGGCAATCTGTGCAGCATTTTAAAGTTTGATGTATGTATGACAACAACAGATAATTAGAAAACTGAGGCATGCTTATCAACCATGTGTCCAGTGCTTTCAGTAGCTTGAACTACTCGTGCTATGCATTTTTGAGGGACATTAAAAATCACTTGAATTAAGATTTGAGAAGTTGTGAGAGAGAGGCCAATGTAGGTCACAGAGTACAGGGGTTAATTTGGCTATTTATAACAGGTGATAGAGGAGAAAATGACATCTAGAACTTCAGGCACAATTTCCCATATTAAAATGTGAACAATAATTAATTATTCATTTCCTCTTCCTTGGCTTTTTTTTTTTTCTGGCATTGGAATTAAAGTATTAATGAGAAGTTATAATAATACCTGTGCTATTGAAATGAAACAGCCTGAAACAAGTTATGTAGTTTGAACCTGATGTGCTTTGCGTAAAGTTAACTCTATTATTGTTCTTTAAATATTAGGCTAATTCCAAGAAGGCTCTGTGACAGTATCCATACCCAAAGCTCTTTTTTAATGTTATTAATCACGAGCATACATGCATGGGTTTGATGTACAATGCACAAATATAATCTTCCACGTTGTTAAAATTTGCATTTGCAGAAAAGTGGCCCTTCTATGTTTCTGTTTGCTTAGACAGTGAACTGTCTTAAGATTATGTAAAAGCCTTGTGTCTCTTTCTGGAAACTGAATTGTCTGCACTTTTCTGTCTGCTCTTTGCCTTGCCTTTAGGATCTTGTTTCCCGAAAGAGACCGTTTGAAAAAAACAGAACAGTTGATGATGGCAGCAGATGTTGATCCAACTCTGCGTCCTGTTCAGCTCACTATGTCGCACTTTAGAAGTCTGTGCAATGCATACAGGAAAATGTGTGATGAAGACCCAAACCTTTTTGCATACAATTACAGAGAAGAACTAAGACAGAAGAAGAGGAAGCGTTCCCCTGAAAGTACAAACCAGCTAGAAGAGACTGTAGAGGAAAATCATCTGTAACTGCAGCAGACTGAACTGAGATTTAACTTCTTGATCTAGAGGTGTTGATTTATGTATTCTTACATCTCTTCAGGTATGGAAGAAATAACTTTTGAAAAAATGGTGAAGGAGGCTTTCCTATTTTATTTGTTCTGTTCAGCTGTAGACAAAAGTTTAGGACAGTCCACTTAGAATGTGCCTACTGGTTCTTCCAGTTTCCAAGGACAGAACGCACACCCAGAACAAGGTATGTTGTGAGATATGTAATTAAATTGAAATAATACATTTTGTATGAACGTGAGTGCATTACTGCAACATAAAAACTCTTTTCATACTTGCAGCATGTAAGATGTTGTCTGAGGTCTTATGCCCTTTTTATCTGGGAAAATCCTCTGTGCAGAGTAATTTAAAAATCAAAAGCCTCATATAAATATACTCAAGTGACTGGCTTATAGGAGGATAAAGTGCACAGATTGCCTCAAGGTCTGCTAATACTCTTTCTCATATATACAAAAGCAAAGAACTTGGGAGTTTAAGAGAACAGCAGCACGATAAAAAGTAGAAAACATAGCTAAGTACAATACTTATTTGTCTTTTACTGTACAGGCTGGTAGAGAAAATAAAAAATACAGTCAAATAAAAGATTACAGGCCAAGCTTTGATTTTATATTTACACATATATATATAAAGTATAAACAGCATCTTGAAACATACAAAAATGCAATTTCTGCACTGTTGTGCACTAAAGCACATTCAAATAACTTAATTCTGCTTTAAATAAAGCAAAAATGAAAACCAAAGAAAATAAATGCCCATGGTATTGAAAAATTCATTTTGTTATACTACTTTCCACTGCATTTCTGCCACTCACTAGCACCTTTTCCACATAACTTAACTTAAAAGTACTAACAAGGCCACCCTTCCCCTCCCCAAGAATAATACTACATAGTCCCAATAAGCGTTTGAAAGGGATGAACTAATTTACAGACCTTGGCAAACTTAATCTATTTTTGATCCACAATAAATTAAAATAACTTAAAAATCCTTTACAGCTGTATTTGTGGAAAAACTGTACTAGTGCTGAAAATCAGATAGTAGTTTTGCTGTGGCTTCCATGAATTTACTGATTTTAAAGCAAAATAAGTTTGTTGAATTTTATGTGGACTTCAAATGAACATTTTGTATAGAGTGCTGCTCAGAAAGCTAGGATTTCCCATGCCTCTCCACAGCTTCATAAAAACAGTCCTCATTAACTACAGATGTTAAGCTCTGGACGCTAAATTCTCTCTCCAAAATAGAGTTCAGGTCCAAGTTTGCAGCATCAGAGTGGCTGTCAAGGGACTGGTGACGTTCCTGCATTGCCATTAAAGCTCCCCTGTTACGCTTTGTGCTGTTTACTTTTCTCTTCACTGGGCAGAAATGGCCACGTATCAGCTTTGGATGTTCTCCCATCTTGAAACCATCTCCTTCCTCCTTTTCTGCAGCTTGATCTCGTTCAGAGTCAGTATTGGGTTCCTCTGAAATCTTCAGCCGTTGGAACTGAATTTCAATGTCTTTAGTAGGGCTGCTCTTCTTTAGGTTCTGATAGTCATCATCGTCATCATCACTGAGAATATCAGATTCTTTGACAAGAGCATTAGAAAAGTCAGAGGCACAGCTCTGTACATGCTGATCAGGAGATGAAGTTTTGGGCTCCTGTATGCTCTCAGTGGTGTTGCAGCTGCTGCTCTGGGTGCTGCTGCTCAGGCTGCACTCATCAGAGTCCTGGAAGGTGCCTTTCCCTTGGTCACCGTTCCACTCACTGCTGGGTGAATTCTTCAGTACCTTCAAGGACCTGGTGGAAGCTGTGCAGAAGAAGAAGGCAGTTTTATCTTCTCATCTAAACATCTGGTTATACTGCCTGTCTCAACAACCCACTTCCAGTCACGATGTACCTAGCCTCATTCAAGGTCAGGTGTGTCAGCATTCTGATACCAGCAATATAATTAAGCATCAGATTTTTCTCTTACCTCCTTCAGAGTTAGACGCTTGCCTTTACGTGCAGGCATATATACCTCAAGTACTAGAGGGCCAAGTTGGAGGCATGAGTTGAACTGTCCCTGATCCTGCCACATAATGAGGATTTTAGTCAACTGAACACATAGAGAACTAGAAATACTAGTACGAAACCAGTAGATAAAAAGCCTGAAGCCTGTGCTTAATTCATTACCGTATGTGCTGGGATGCAGATTAAGAACATGGAGAGAAACAAGAGCCCTGTCTTTTGTTATTTGTTTTAGCTTTGACTGTTAGCAGGGCCCAGACACTAGAGGTAACTCTGAGGAAAGAACACAGTATTCTGCAGGCCAAAGGGAGTCTGTTTCTAACCAACAAAATGGGGCCTTACTAAGTCTACCCTTAAGAAAGCTAATGACAAATCAAATGTGAGAATACAGTGGGAACCAACAAGCTTGCTTATCTCCTCTAGCCTTTGTCATACACTGAGTTGTGGAGAAACTGCTGCAACTACTCAGCCTGAAAAAGAAAATGGAATTTGTGGGTCTGGCACACGACACTGTACAGCCACTTTAACAACTGCAAATCATTGCCAGCTCTGGATTCCAGCCTCCATTTTTCACATTGAGAACCTGTTTCTTACCCAGTTTAGCTGTGGCAGGCACACGGTTCTTGAGTGGAATGAGGCGATCTTTACAGGTTTTCTCCAGAGGCAGCTCACATTTTATGTGACGTCTGAAATTCTCCCGCAAGATAGAACGGATCACCTTCACAATGTTAGTCTTGTTCTCGCAGTCACTGGAAGTTTAACACAACAGATAATCTCATTTTCACATCTAAAGAAAGACAGCTGAAATCACATTCAACCTCCTGCTTTTTGTTGATGTGTTTAGCGTGGTAATTTTTTTCAGTCACTTTCCTTAGTAGTAGTTTGGCAGTTAACATTGTTCTGTGTTGTTAGGTATGTCATACTCTTTTGTGTTTTGAGTTCTTAGTTACTTCATTTAAAACAGCCTGAAAGATCAGGTACGAAAGGATTACCCTTTGAGTGGTGTTATCAAATTAGGGTTAGGCAATTTCTGCTAACCAACCAAGAGTCTGGTAAAATTAGTCTGCCCCTATCATACTGGAATTTATGATACTACACCTGTGCAGATTTTCACTGGATCACTGCATCAAGTTCAAGGCAGTTTCAAACTGTTATGTCTATTATATCTTATGCAGGTAAATAGTAGCACAGTGCCTAGATTTAAAGACTGGTAACAGCTTTAGAAGTGCTGATATAATGGTCACAGGATGTAAGGGTCTTCTACTTTTTAAAATTTCATTAATGTATTAATTAATTTCACACATTAATTTCATCCAACTTCCATAAAAAGCTTACCTGCTGCACAACTGAAAAATGGTTTCTGGCCTGCCTTCCAGTTCTGACTTTGTGTGAATCAGTTCCCAGATACAGCTGTTCTCTGTTCCTGTGCATAGAAGAAGATGTTATTTTTGTATATATTTCACAGAACCTTCAGCATTAGAAAGACCCGTGGAGAGCTCCTCTTCTCCTGAAAGCAGTATCAACACAGGGTGTGGTAGATCCACAGAAGATCTCATCTGAGATAGAACCCAAAAGAAAGTTCCCTGAACTCTCTAGTTCTAGCAGCCTGCAAGGGCTGCCTTTGAAAACTCTACGTTCTCTCTTGGAGAGTTGCTTTCCCATGTTCTTATGCTTCTTAATGCCTTCCAGCCTTAGAAGACCTTCTCCCATTTCCTCTAAGACAGCCTGTGACACTATACAAGGTTCAGAACTGGATAGAATCATAAAAATCAACTCAGAGAAAACAAAGAGGTGGCCCTCTGCTACACCAGTTATACAGTTAGCTTCCCACACCAAGACTCCGCACGCAGAAAGGGCATAACCAGGATGTCAGCCAAGGTAAACCCCATCCTGTTCATGGTATCTTTTTACAGGGAATTTTCATTCTGTCATATCTTCATATCACCCTCCATCTTCTTTAACTCAGGGAAGAAGAGAGATAAAGCCAGCATATGGAACTGAGAAAGTCTATTTGTGAATCAGGTCTGTGTCCTGTGAAGTCAGACAACAGTAGATAGTACTTTCTCTGTACCTGCCTGTTTCCAGCAGCTCCAGAACTACGTACAGAAGAAGCAGTACTGGAGAATCCCAGAAAACTATTCATTCCAGAGTTTTCAGTACAAGGAAATTAATTACCTGCTGTGTTCCCAAGTCGAACTTGAAGAGCAGATAGAGGAATCAGCCAGCGAAACTTAAATGGATCCAAGTCACCATAATTATGGGCAGCACGAACATTACTAGGCTGCAAAAACAAAAGCAAGAAGATATTTTTAAGAAGTGGTTCTTTTTTGCTTCCATTTCAGATCCGTAACTGAAGAGAAACTGCAGTTCATTAGACTTTTTCCTTCAACCCCCTAATGTGTGCTTGTAGCTGGAATGGTCATAGATAGACACAGCCTTGGAATTTGTAGTTGCTTCAGCTTTTAAAAGCACTTGATTTTAATGGATAAAAGTAATATATATAAGTGCTATTTGGGAACAAACATTCAATGGAGAAATAGTCTAGGGATCATACATTAGCAGAAAACATTAATCATGTCACTGCTGCTGCTAATACTCTTAAAGCCCTTTGATCTCTTACGATTTGCAGGTTGCAGTACATCGCCACTGATACTCAGGATATACTCAGGATACTCAGGTTGCTGCTTTAGTATTCCAGTTTTGTAAATGGCGCCAGAGAAAGTTACATTTATACATCCTTTCAAAGTGATCAAGGGTTATAAACAGAGGTCTTCAGTCCTCACAGTGTTAAGGTAGGCTGTCACAAAAGCTATCTGGAAGGAAGTGATTCTTGTATGGCAGTGTTTCATCCCTGACAGAACCATTGTATTGCTGACATAGAGAAGATGCTGGAGCTTACTATATAGCACTAAAGACAAACAAAAAAACAGCTACAACTTATTGTTACATAAATACTGAATGCTTGTTTTTTCTGTGGTAGCTAAAGTTCCAGCCTAGTGAGAGGAGGTGGCATTTTACCACAGCCACTTCCTCTTCAACCCCAGTACGATCCATTCTACGCTACAGCAGGATCCTGCTCATAAACATCCACCACAACTCACACCAGACTTACCATTTTCTTTTTCAGTTTGTAGTTCTCTTTATACACCAGTATTACAGCCCTCTTAAAAACTGAAAAAGAAAAGAAGAAGGAAAGAAGACTCTTAATTGCAGATACAATATTCAGTGAAAATATCCTGAAAAAGCTGAATATTAAAAGTCATGAGACGAGACAAGCAAAGTGATTCGGAAGCATCTACTCTGTATTAAAATATTGAGTTTTTCATCCCACATATGTTCATGCAGTAGCAATATTTATTCTCAGATCTTCTGATGAACTTTTTAAGGTAAAGCCATTCTGCACGTGCATTATGAAACTACTGGCAGCCTGGCTCTAGCAAGTCTTCACACAAACATATAAAGCTGATGCAGTTTAGATGTTAAGGATTCAGGTTTTCTTTTGGATGGATGCCTTCATGTGGAGTGAAATGCCAGTACTAAGAGAGAACTGTGAAAAAGGATGATAAGTCTTCCTGCAGGCCAGCTTTTGTTCAGTTGGAAACAAACATTCATCTCAATTCCTACTTCTGCATCTGAAGGAATTATCTGTCTTCCACAGCATCTGAGTGGAGTGGCTCACTAATGGTATCTAATCTCTCAGCCTCCAGTGAGGCAGTGACATGTTCTCTCTAATCAATAAGGAGAGATCAGAAAACCAGGGACATTGAAGGTGCATCTGGACTATGGGATAGCAGTCCTGGATCCCAGACTGGATGACAGCGGTGTAGCTCTATTCTTACTTATGCATCCGCATTTCCTTCCAGTGGAAGAGAGGGGCAGTGATATGCAGTAGGCTGTCATGCCTTCATGGAGCCAGGATGCAGACACAGTGAGCACAACATTTAGTCTACAGTTGGGCATAATTTCCATTAGTTTCACACATTAAATAAGTGCACTTTTCAAGCTGCAGTAGACTAAAGTGGGAATAAAACCAGGTTTCCCAGGTGGCAGACAGTCTAAGCTACATATCAGGCCAAAGTCCCTTCATTTATTTATACACACCCTGTTGAGAACTCCCACTTACTGGGCTTGAGTGACTGGCATGTGTGGATCACTGAGAGCTCATCCAAGTGAACATGTGGAAGCAGTTCACACTTCTTCTTCTGTTTAGAAGCACTTTCTCCCCTTATCTAACATGCTTAGAGAAACTTGGAAACTTAGGAAAACTTGTCTCATGAGCCTGGAGTTGTTCTCTGGGTCCAAAGACATTTTAAATAGATGTTTTTTAAATAAATAGACAAATGCCTAATATGTTTCAGTGAAACTTTTTGATTAGTAAGGTAATAAATGATTAATAGTACTTATACTGTTTAGTAAAACTCTTGATTCCATGCACTGATTTCCACTTACATGTTTCAGATTAAAATAGTCTGAACAAGGACTGGCAGACAACACATTTTGATGTAACAGTTGTAAAACAGGTTTTCCCGTTTTCCCAGGAGTGAAATAAATCACCATTTTCCTACCAGCCTTGTTTGAAAGACTTTTTTATCATATTATTTTAGAGATAATGTTGTTGCTTGAAAATCATTGATTTCCATACTTGACACACAGAGTAGGTGAGGTTGGCTCACAGAACAGACAGTAGCAGCAAGCAAATTAAATAGAAATGTTTCTCTTGTATTAGGAAATGTAATAGTTTTGCATATGCTTTCAGATGCATGTCTACATTAAGTAACCCATGGTTACAGGAAAAGGAGATAGTGGCTTTAAAAAATGTGGAAAATTTTAATTTCTTCATCTTTAGATCTGAAAGAGCAGAGTCATGAAGGAAGACACTTACCAAACACTGTAAGTTCAAGGTCTTTTCTTGCTTTGCCCAGTGATGGGAAAGGATTTAGCCAGGAAACTGTAGAGTGCATCAGAAGTTCTCCCATGGAAAGTTCAGTCACCTGGATTAAATTAAACAATAATCAATTAACAACAGACAAAAATATAAGCAATATACATCAATGCCATGATACAAAGGTGGGAGTAAATATTAAAATGAGTACACATTGATAGCACTGATTATATGATTTCTGTATTTACTGATTGTACACAGTGAGCAAGACAGGGAGCTCTGTACAAAGGCAGGAAAGTGTGAGTAGTCCCCCTAGGTTGCTCTGAAAGTAATACATCCTATTTATTTCCATGGAAACTACAACAGATACAAAGAGCACAGTAACACAGATTTGTTAGAACAAATTCTCAACTACCAAAAACTTGTTTCAACAGTCAGCTGATTCACTTGAATGAGATAATAAAAATGCTCTTCATTTTGTGGTGTGACAGATGTGCACAGCTGTCTGGAATGTGGCTTATCTTTCACACTGCTGTCACCACTGCTGAAACACACCACCCACCTCCTTACTGTGCTCACATCATTGTTTGTCTCTATCGGTGTTGAGTGAGCATCAATGAATGTCAGTTGGGTGCAATGTTTTGTTCAGAGGAATTCAGTGACACACCTTTGCTTCAACTGCACTTCAGTGTTGGATCCCATTTGTCAGACTGCCCCTCTGCTGCCATCTGTCAGATGGCAACAAAAAGAACAAAATACTGGTGAGAAGGGTCAGCCCGTACAGCCATACCATCAACATCTGCTTCTGACGTTGGGAGCCAACAGAATAAAATAGGAGGCATTACTTTCAGAGCAGCCTTTGCAAAACAGATAATAACCGTAAAGTAACAGCATCTAAGCTATGGATGCTGGATAGAAGTTCTTACTATTAGCTATATATCTTTCTATAGCTTATAAGACTAAGCTGACCTGATGATCTGTCTACGTATAGCCAGTTGTGAACTGGCTGATTTATTAGAGGTAAATGCCTTTATAGAGTAATTAGTATTAATGACACTGCCAATGGCAGAATTAATGCAGGTCTTGCTCTCCAAGGCTCTTCTTTCTTCACTTGACAGTGTATCTCAGGCTGTCAAGTTTGTTACCTAGAAATGATGAGAAACTAAATTGCCAGTGGAGGTGATTTGGCTTTAAATATAAGGAAATATAACAACTGACTTGGCATCTTCATATTCTCTACCTCTACTGATTGTGTCTGCTTCGTAATTGTTTGATGTAAATGCCTAAGTTGAGACATTGCTGCCCCAGTTCTGTGAGATGTGTGCACACAGTTCACTCAGCTAATGCTTTTGCTCTCTCAGATACCCATGGATGCCTCAGCCCTAGAACTGTAGAGAATGAGAATAACAGACATTAATGTGAAATCCCTAGAATTGCCACTTTCATTTATATGGGTGAAAAAAAAAATCTTAAGAACTCTGAAGCATAAAATCTGAATGCCTTTGGGCATGGATAATCTCTGCAGCACTTGAGAAGAGGAAGATGTCTTTATTTTTTCCTACTGAGAATTAATGTCTACGCCTGCTTGCAATTCTTGCCAGTCCAGAAGGCTGTCTGAAAATTTTTACTGTAACCTACTGACAAAAAGAAGTTTCACAGGCAGATATGAAATGGAAGTCAAAATATTAAAGGAGAATGAAGGACGCCCAGCACAAACAAGTTCCCAGAATTACTTCAGGAAGAGATAAAGACCCCCAACAGCTAGAAGGATAATGCTTCAGGACTGAATAAAATACTTCGTTCCTTCTCTTACCTCCTTCTCTGTTCCACTTTGATCTGCAACCAGTTGATCAAATACAGTGCCGTAATCTTCATAAATCTTCTGCATCTCATTGATGTGACTTGCTACTTTTTCCATTGCCTTCAGCGCTTCTGTAAGGTTTAAAAAATTCATAGGCAGCTATGTAATTCAATTGTATTTTCTAACCATGACATTTTGTATAGAATTCTACTTGAGGCAGCCAAAACCATGCAGCATTCCCAAAGTTTGTTGATCAGAATTCTAGCTTTAGATCTGTTTTCTCATAGCAGCTGCAGAAAATGTGCTTCCTGATCAAAGTGAAAAATGTTTAACTGATCTCTTGAGCGCCTGAACAAATAGCAGCAAGTGTTCTAGTGATGAATATTCATGAATTTGGAGTTTGTAACAACATGACAGGAAACACAGTTAGGTTTTGCATCTTGTATAAATGGAGCCACTAGGCTATCCAGAGTCATAAAAACCCATACTAGAATAAATAATTTAATAATTTAATGAACTTTAATGGAAAATAATTGAATTTGGCTCATCACAAAATACATAAATAAATACATTGCTAGGTTGCACAAATTCATCACTGGTTGTTATCTATGAAATAAAATGCTGGTAGTCAGGTTTTATTTAAATTTTGTTTTCTGGACAAAGAATTACACTAGATAGCATTACTTTATTGTTAATCCACAAAGGAGTTGGATAAGGGCACTTAATTACCCTACTTCTTCCAGCTCTTAATGGTGTAGTCTTTTAGCAGTTTGGCATTCACCCTTGACCTACAAGCAAGCCATCCTCAACCTGATTGTAATGGCAAAATGTAGTATTAGAATCTCCCTTTGAAGTCGATAACATTCTCATGACTTTTTGCTGACAGTGTATTTGGCCTGAATCTATTTTGTTAAAATGAAATTCATCTCTGGACTTTGATCCTTAAGGTGCTGACAGACATGAACTGAAATTCCTCAGGGTGAAGTCCCAAGCATCTGAGCCTAGAAAAAGAATCTAATATATATATTAGGACAGCCATGAATTTGTGTGTGTGAAGACTGTGAAGCTTTGACACAGAACTCTTCCACACAAGCAAGAATCACAGCCAAGCCTCAAACAAATAAAATTGTCTTCTGCAATGCTATTAAAATTTGACGTGTTTCAAGAACTAATAATAACCACAAGTTATTTCCAAGTGGAAAAACAACACAATGAGCTCCTGTCATAAGGATTAAGGAGAAAGACCCAGTCCTGTTTGTCATGACAAATTCTGACTGTATCTAATTTCTCAAAGGGACTTGGACATGCTAACTGGGATTTTTCGCTAAAAGCACAATAAAGCTACTTACTGTTTTTAATGAGAGAGAGGGAATTCTCTCTAAGTTTTGACAAGTTCTTTGCTGTCCAGTGGAATGGGTACCTGCATCTTTAGAAAAGGCTGGAAAGCAAACTTAACTCACATTGATTCCTGCAGAAGAATCCAAGAAGTTACCTGTCAAATGATAGTGCTCCTCACTCTCGTTGTCTGTCAGAGACACCAGCTCTTTCAAAAGCAGTGGATATTTCAGCACTCTCTGAACAGGCTTTATGAGATACGACTCCAGCGTAGAGGAGTGTTGCTTTGTAGGATTGCGGGCATCCAGGAAGGCCTTAAAGGCACTGTCTGTCTTGGCTAAATATGAATGGACGGGTTGGTCAGTTGAATGTGGAACTCATAGTGTGAATGCACAGAATTGCAACTCGTAACCAGCAACAAGTACCCCTCCTTTTTCAGTAGATGCTTTACACTCTTCATTTCACTGTCATTTCATGCACTAAATAATGTACAGAAGGGCTAAAGAGAGCAATTATCTAAAGGTGACATTATTCCTCTGCACTGCAGGCCTCTTCTGCATCAAATTAAAGAAGTGATAGTGGAAGTAATTCCTCACTTACTCAGCCATTCATTGCAGCTTTGATTGACATCCATCATTTAACATGCAAGCATATGCAAACCAAATATAGCAGCAGCTTCTGGAGTATGAACTAAATCTGCAGACAGCACAAACCTGTGGCAGATGTTTCTGATGCTATTCAGGCTACTGCTTAGTTGTCACAAAAGAAATCTCATCCCTTCAGTTCTATACCGTACTGTAGCAGAACTGCAGATCTCAGCTATTTCTATTGAAAGATATCCTATTAGTCCTTCCTTTGTACCGATATTTGCTGCAGGTCAGAGTTTGTTACAGTGTTTCACTGAGGTTTAAAGTCATGCAAATTAATTGTAGTAATGAAGACAATGAATTACCTCTCTCAAGAACTTTCTGAACTTTGATGTGATTGGCACAAAAGCCACTGTACAGTTTAAAGTGGTCAGCATAATACAGAAACGATCCTCCCAGGGAAAACAGCAGTTTCTGAAATCAACACAATCAAAATATTTACTTTATTACCAGAACCCAAAATAAACATTCAGGTACATAACACAGAGACTCAATGGTGTGAGCATCTGCTGCCTTTCTATATATATCCTGGAGTATACGTATATGAATATATATATGTGTGTGTGTATATACACATATATAGAATACATGTATGTGTGTGTATATAAAATAAATATATACAACAATTATATTACATGGATACATTATTCGTAGTAGTTCATGATGCTTCTTTGTTTCAGTAGACTTCAGAAAGGCAAAGCCTGCAGTTTTTCTCAGTTCTCCCTGAGCAAACACCACTACTGTAGGCATTGTCTTACTTTATCTTAGAGACAGGACAGGAACAAAAAACTATAGGCATGTAGCAGGTACGTTGTGCTGGGAAAACACACGAGCACTTGGAAGCAGGGCATGAAAGTGCCAAAACCAGAAGAGAGAGTGTAAAACAAAGACAGGGTTGCTTT